CTGACTAAATTGTATTTTAGTTTAATATAGTCTGAAACCTAGTAATTTCCATCGAAGTTTACAGAGTAGGGACTGTGCCTTCTCAAAGAGATGGATTGTGGTGTTCCATTGAGTATGTCGAAATGCATGCTTTACGAGTACCGATGTATGCTTCCAAGAGGCTAGCACTCTTCTTAGGAGGGTAGTCCCAAATTATTGTCTCACGGCTTGGATCCTTAAAAATGCTGGTCAATAAAGCAAAATCAGAGGATGATAGATTTGGCGGTAGAGGATTTGCGGATCCTTTGATAGGTGGTTAGAGATAATCTTGGCTGGTTTTATGCCCACAGACTGGTGTCTATTTGTATCTATATTGGCTATATTGAGTCAGGTGCGTCTTTTGGAACTTGCTGAAAGAAAACATAGTGTATCTGACTGATGATCGTTGGTCGCCTTAATCTTGCAAAGTGGGTTGAAGACTTGAGTATGCCGGTTTGGATTGCCAAATTTTTGTTGACAATAAATGAGAAAACCAGTAAAGGGTATTTGTTGATCCAGCAGTAGTGACAAAACTCTTCTTCGACCTTGAAGCTGTAGAACGATAACTTTGTAGACATTAGGTAATCGCCAAGATTTCATCTTAATGTGGGATGGATTGAAACTAGCAGAGGGGTTTCCCTTAGGGATGGCCGTGTAGGAATTTGTTTGAATTGTAGCCGGAGTACGAAGTTGATGGGCAAAGCGCCATATGATAACTAGGTGTTGATAAGCCTGGTTTATTAGCGAAGAAGTGGTCCTTAGTTAACGATGGTCGGTAGGAGCTCGAGAGGTGGTATAAGTGATGGGATGTCGCTCATTATAGAGGAAATACTCTAAATGTTCATGGCCTACATGGGAAAGTCACTAACTGTACATACAGATTTACGGGTACGTTTTCTAATTGCCCAATTCAAATCGCTAAATGTGATTTTCTATTCCTTTCTCAAACTTTTCAAACAAACAAAATTGAAGAGTATATTTAGAGACTTTTTTATGTACATTTAGAGACTTTCCAGTGCTGTAATTTTTTTGATGACGCACAAAATAAAATAAAAGATTTTTCTATTTTTGTCAGGTTCAAAATGCCGGCGAGTGTGCCAACTGACAACCGACTCACACATCTGCAAAATCTTGTGTGGATGTATAACAAAAAATAAAAATACAATATATGTTATTTTTCACTTCCACGTACTTATTTTTCACAACGGACCTTTGATTCAAATTTTCGTTCTCCGAAACGTAAATCTCGGTGACCAGCAGGTCACCAGTGTAGAACTGAATACCATTTTAAAAAAACCCACAGAAAAGGGTTTTAGGGTTTAATAAATACCAGACTTGAAATTTGGATTTTCAAACAAAAAAAAATCAAAAAAAAAATCAAAAAAAAAATACCAGTAGGAAGCCTGGGGACCCACAGTCCCACAGCCGCGAAAAATGTCGGGCCAGGCCGAATCCCCAACTGAGGCGTTCGTCCCCAAGGACTCCTTGCCCAATGACCCAATGGAAATTGGACTTACAAAAATCTATCACAGACCTCTCTGCCCAGGTCAATACTCTACAGGCCATACATGAGTCTATAGATCTTTTCTTTGAGCGCTTGTTTGTGCACGACAAGGCTCTAGGAGACAATGCTATGTTGGTCTACCATATAAAAGGGTTTGCGTCGGTGCTAGTGATGGTACAGAATGCGCAAGGAGATGTTGCCCCACCGTCGAAACCTCTCGTGGCCTTCTCCGCTGGTCGATGGGGGGACAGATATGAGTTAGGGGGCTACGTTGGCGGCCGTTAATGATTTACGCAACAGCGTCGCTGGACAGCAGAAGGATCTTGCGGGACGGAAGAGGGATCTGCGCAACCTTCTCAAGCGTAATCGCACGCCTAACCCCAAGAACAAAGGGGTAGATAAGGGCAAGGGCGGTCAGAAGCACCCAAGATAGGCATCGGTAGAGCCAGAGATTGAGCTCTCGGAGAATGACGACATCCGGGCAGCTCGGGAGGCCTACCACAAGGTGATTCGTTGCCTCAACTGTAAGCAGCGTGGACATTTTCGCAAGTCCTGTCCAGAGGCACAGCAGTGACTTGCGGGCGCTGTGAGCACCGTGGTGCAGGAGAAGGCACAAGCTGGTAGTGTCATTCAGGGTGCCGTTGCTGGTGAGAATGTCGAGATCTATGTCGACTCGGGGGCTACACCGAGTTTGGTCACCAAATTCGGTTTGAAAGCGGCTCGATACTTAGGTTTACCATATAAAGTGCTGAGATGGGGCTTGTACGCCCATCTGGTGTGGTTGAATCTAATGTAACAATCGATACGTGGGGTGGCAATACCATTGAGAGACCAATGGATTTGCTGGTGGTGGACTCATTGCCATTTGACACGGATATTCTGCTAGGATTTCAGTCCTTGCGGAAGGACCCCCTTATGTGGACGAAGCATAATTTTCTGGCGGCGGTGCCTCAGATGGAGGTTATTGACTTCCTTACCTTGGAGGCTCTTGAGGAAGAGTAGCCGCCCATGTCGGGGCAAGGAGAGCGGAGGTTAACAAATAGAGACGCAGGGTGTCGGAGATGATTCCGCAGGACTTGCTCTTGAACAATATTAAGAGTCGGCTGGGTTTCAGGCTATACATAGGAATGAGTTCAAGGAACAAAAGCAGCGCAATTATGTTGCGTCCATGCAAGCACACTTTCTTTAGGTGCAGAAGAGGGTTGAGTACTTGGCCAATGCGGCCGAATTGGATAATGCCGACGAATACGTCCTGCCGCGGCTGCATGACTTATTGGATGAGGTAGACATGCTTATAGGTGCGACCACCATCTCGCCAGCGAAGGAGGTGGACCCGAATGCATATCTTGACTTCGACCAGTCTCAGCTTCGGAAGCTGTACAAGAAGTGTGGTCTCCCGAAGAAGGAGCTTGATGAGATTATTAAGGCCATACACGATTAAGGCCATGCAGTCGGTGGCATACAACGCAGTGGCACCTACTTTCATGGCTTATGACGACATTCGCTTCAGGAATGGTGTGGAATTTCACCTGAAGGATGGTGAAAAGTCGTCCTACAATGTGTACCCGAACAATGATCCGACATTCACTTCAGTGTTGGCCACCAAGGTTGGTGACTGGGATCATGGGGGTGTGACAAGGAAAATCTCGGAGGCTGAGGCTAAAGACTATTGTGCTATGCCGGACATGGTCTTTCGGGAAGAGGTGGTCAAGAGAGGCGTGTTGGTCGAGCTAGGATATGAACAGCTGGGCTACCCTACCCCATCACAGATAAGGACCCTCGCAATCGTGTACTGTCTCCATAAGTCGTGGAGGATTGTCAAGCGTTCGAGACACCCGTTAACAGTGTTCACGGACTATGAACCGCTGGTGCTCATATTGGCGCAGGTCCCCACCTACTTTGAGTCAACGGTTAGAGGCAGGCGGATGGCAAGGTATGCACAGGTACTGTGTGACTTTGATATCATCCTGAAGCATGTGCCAGAAGAGTCGAATCCTGTGGCGGATGTGCAGTCTCGGTTGGGTTACCACATAGACCTGATCATGCAAGCAAAGCGACTTCCGGCACAAGATAGGGTGCGTTGGGCGGAACCAGTGGTAGTTAAGCCAAGCACGGAGTCCTATGTTGTGAACAGACAGCTCTTTGACAGGATTGGGCAGAAGTTTGGCCCATTTGATGCTGAGGTTTTGCGCATCCGACATATTAGCGGATGAAACCGTACTACTAGCCTACCTTGGCTGGAGGGGTGTTCGATTTAAGGACCTGGATGGGACCACGTTGGTACTTCAACCCAAAGTGGTCGGATCTCGGTAAAGTGGTTACCAGGATTCGCAGGGACAAGGCTATGGTGACAGTGGTTTGCCCGTATGCACCTGAAGCTTGTTGGTTCTGTAGAAATACGGCCTCCGGTCAGTCTAAAATATCAAGATCAATTGAGATAGTACATTGGTGTTTATTTGTATTTTAAATAATTTAATACAAGCTCTTTTTCCAATATTTCCAAAGTGTTCTAAATTCACTTTGATGGCTCCAATAGCCTGAATATTTGGTATGACTCATCTACTTGGACCTATTTGAGACATTAGTAGATGTAGGATATTATAAACTAAATTTTATAATCTCCGAACTACTACTTATAGATTTT